AGTTGGGGATCAGTTTATTAGTTACCTTTTCATTTGCAAGTGTAGGTGCTTGTGGTGGGCCAGCTATTTGCTGCTGTGGTCTTGCTCTGATACTATGAGCTCAAAGAATGTGGGTGCTCCTGCTCTGCCTTTATTTAGCCAGGATAATGTCATTTCAATTGGAATTTAACTTGCCTGTGTCTGCAAAACTGAGTGACTGCAGCCTTCGTGCTGACACTGATTCAGGGGCTCATGAGCCATCTTGTATCATCTTTGAAAACACAACACATGGAGGATGTAAGTGAAGTGACATCAAGTGCAAAGGACCTGAAGGAAAACAAAAAACAAACAAACAAGCAAGCATACATACAAACTGCCCCCTGTGAATAAAAATTCCTAGGATGGTCGAAGTAAGTCTTGCCTTCTTAATATTTACAGGCTAATAAAAAAAAAGAGTATATAACTGAAAGTCAATTCTCAGCCTTAATCTATAGAGTTGGAGGTAAGAACTAAACATGAGCCTGGTACAGAGTCTGTACTCTTGACCACATTGCCACGTAATTCAGTTCTGCTAGTCTCCTCTGGGTTCAGGAGGAAGACGTCATGCAATTCGTAGGTCTTCCTAGAAGGTGTCAATACTGCACAAATGATACCCCTCTTTGAACATGTTGAGAATCCCAGCTTGCTCGGCCTGGAGCATATTCTTTCTCCCTTTAGCCACCAGTGTTTGTTTTTGGCTTCCATTGCCCAGGTCCTTGTTGGTGCTAAGCACTTTCTCCCGAAGTGTTTTTTTTTTTTTCTCTCTCTGTGCTTTAGCCAGCATGTGAGAATCACTCAGAGGAGCTTGTTAAAATACAGATTTCTAGGCCCACCCCCAGGGATTTTGAATATGTCTACAGTGTGCCCTAAGAATCTATATTATTATAATCATCACCCTATGAGTTTCTGAGGCAGGGGTTGGAAATATGAGGAATGCTGCCTGGGTGATGAGACACATATGTCATGTCTCAGGTTCACAGGGGAGGTAAGAACTTGGGGCTTGTGTGGTTTGGGGGTGAGGGGAGGCATACGTACCATTCTGTCTGCTTCTACACGTTGATGTTGTTACTGCCAATTGTTATTAATTAATGCTATTAATGGTTGATACCATTTATTTTTTATTTTTATTTATTTTTAATTTTTTTTCTATTTTTTATTTCAGGGTATTATGAGGGTACAAACATTTTGGTTATATTTTATGTCTTTGCCTTACCCAAGTGAAGGTTAGAGGCATGCCCTTCCCCTCTACAATGCTCACCATGACCTTTAGTTGTGAGTTTACCCCCCATGACTCCCTAATCCCTGGAGAATTACTACCATGTGAGCACCATAGTGATAATCAGTCAGTACCAATTTGATGGTGAGTACAAGTGGAGTCTATTTTTCCGATCTTGTGATACCTCACTTCGGATAATGGGCTCAAGCTCAATCCAGGAATATATAAGAGGCACTAGATCACTGTCATTTCTTACAATTGAGTAATATTCCATTGTATACATATACCAAATTTTAATAATCCACTCATGAACTGATGGGCACTTGGGTTGTTTCCACATCCTTGCAATAGTAAATTGTGCTGCCATAATTGTGCTGCACATTCAGGTGCAGATGTCTTTATTATAGAATATCTTTTGCTCTTTTGGGTAGATGCCTAATAGTGCTATTGCTGGATTGAATGATATTTCTATTTTTAGCCCTTTGAAGTATCTCCAATTCTTTTCCACAGAGGTTGCACTAATTTGCAGCCCCACCAGCAGTGTAAGAGTGTTCCTGTCTCTCCGCATCCTCATCAGCATTTGTTGTTTTGGGATTTTTTGATAGAGGCCAATCTCACTGGAGCTAGGTGATATCTCACTGTGGTTTTGATTTGCATTTCTGTAATGATTAGAGATGTTGAGCATTTTTTATATGTTTGCTGGTCATTATTCTGTCTTCTTTGATGCCATTTATTATTGATCATTTGTTTTATTAAGGTATTAATTTGTGTTTTGCTATAGTTTTTTTTCTTTCCCCCATTCCAGTTAGATAGCCAGACCCTTTGGGATCCCTGGCCTTAGGGCACTTAAAGGACAGCATAGAAGCGATTCATAATCTTTGATGAAAGCCTGAACTCACTGACCAGAGTTTTGATGTGTCTTTCAGGAAGGAGAGGAAAGAGCTGACTGTGTGGTGGCAGTGAGGGAGCAGAGGTTGACAGGGGACATTCCGAGGTATGGAGAAGTGATAGTGATATGGCCCCATTCCCTGGCAGGAATGGTTTCATGGAGCCATCAGGAAAGTGGTTGCTCATCTCTGAAACGAAGCTTGGGCCACACCTATATTCAAGCATGGCATGGAAATGCACATTCATATACCCATTCAGACTTTTGCAGGGAGCTATCTAAAGATTAGAGACTTTTCACCATTTGCCAGGCACTGTTTCAGGCGCTGGAGATACACAGGTTAATAAAATAATCATCCTGCCCTTATGGACTTTACATTCTAGTGTTAGATTCTAATATGGCCCTAGGGAGTTCTAGGAAACCTCAAATAAAATGGGATTAAATGTTATAACACCATGGGGAGATGGAGATTTAAGTTAGCTGCAGAAATAAATGCTCTCTTTCCAGCATACTTGAGTTTGTGCTAGCAAATTCTTGCCTGCTACCATAGTAATGGTTGCTTTTCCCCTTCACGTTTACTTGTGCTAGGCACTGTAACAGATGTTTTATTTCCTTCAATACTCTTAGAGAACTGTGTTGAGTCATTTTCATCATAGAGGGTCCACCCACTAATCCATCCACCTAAGTATGCATCAGAAGGTAGTGTGCAAATCCTCCCAACTTGAGTTATATTCTTAAACAGATTAATTAATGAATTACTAGGATCAATTTAGTGGGTCTCTCCCTACCTCCTCTTCCTCTGCCAAGCCTTACATCCTGATGTTTCCCCCCAAATTCTATCTTAGGCTTTCTTCTCTTTTTATAGCACTATCTTTCTGAGTGAAGGCAATCACTCCCATGGCTTAAATATTATCTGCATGTAAATAAGAAAACTTGCCTGAGTCCCACCTGGTGTGCCCAACAGCCCATAAAAATTTCACACTCAACATGTTAAAACTGGAGCTCATTGTCTTTTCAAATTTTCTCTTCCTTCCATAGTCCCTATTTCAGTGAATAATCCCTGCATCCATCCAAGTACCCAAGTCAGAAACTTGTAAGTCATTTTGACTCCTCCCTCATGTACCAGATATTATGAGTTATTGCCTTACAATTTTATCTGACCCTTATTCCCCATTTCCATTACCATAATCTTGGTTCAAAATTTTATCTATTGCTTGAACTATTGCTAAAGTCTTTTTAACTAGCCTCCCCATCTCCAATCTCTAGCCTCCAGATTAGTGTCACCAGATCTTTTAAAATGAAAACTTGGCCATTTAATTTTTCACACTAGAAACTTCTACCCTTGTCTATTGTTTAAACCACAGTAGAATTCCAATTTCCTTGGTATGGCATACAAGTTTCTTCATGATCCAGCCCCAGTACAACACTCTAGTTCCTCCACCCAATATGCCTTCATCATATGCCTTCCATCTGGCCAGGCTGGAAGCCACAGTGCCCTAAGGATCATGCTAGTTTACGCCTCTTGGGTTGCCCATGTTATTCCTCCTCCTTCAATGACCTCCACCCCTTTGTCTACTTAAAGAAAACCTACTCATCTGTGAGCACTCACCACAATCACTACCTCCTTTCTGAAGCTTTTCTTGCCATCTCCTCACCTCCAGCACTGACAATATCCTTTTGAAAATAGCCCATTTATATTTCTCATAGCCCTACAGTATTTTGATCACACTTAATTTTCCATGTCTTCTCTTTACTCAATTCTAATCTCTTTAGGCTGTGGAGCATATCTTACTGCTTTGAATCCCCTAGCACTGTGCTTGGTGTATAGTTAAGGTGTTAATATGACTAGGTTTGTGCCTGTTGACCTGGCTTAATTATTATATTAACTACACCCTCTTCCACTTTCAAAAGTGTCTTGGTTTGGCAAATAAATTACATATGCTCATCCTCCACACAGTACATGCTTGGCAAATGTTTGAATGAATAAGCCTTAGTTTTCCTTAATTAGCCCTGGGGGAGCACTTATTACTATACAATATGTATAGCGATTTTTTAAAAAGGCCAGAGCATGGTGGCTCATGCCTGTAATCCCAGCACTTTGGGAGGTTGAAGTGGGAGCATCACTTGAAGCCAGGAGTTCAAAACCAGCCTCGGCAGCGTAGGAAGATCCCATCTTAAAAAAAAAAAAAAAAAAAAAAAATTAGTCAGGAGTCCCAGCTACTCCAGAGGCTGAGGCAAGAGGATCATTTGAGCGCCCCGGAGTTCTAGGCTGCAGTGAGATATGATGGCGTCACTTCACTCCAGCCTGGGCGACAGAGAAAGACTTCAAGCCTTAAAAAAAGACAAAGTTGCTTTAGTTGTTTATGATGATATCTTTTTTTCTTAGCTTCACTAGAACTAGCCAGCTCCCCTTTCCTCGTTTGGCAAGCGTGGGGAGTTGGTCTGGAAATGATGTCCCACCTTTTCCAGTTATAATGTGTAAGTAGACTAATAGCCCACACCCTTGCTTCTTAAGACCGCACTGACTCCACTGGCTTAGGTTAACATTTCTCCAAGTTACCTTGTGCAACACAGCACTGAGTTGGACTCGCTGCATGGATTCACAGTTTGCCATAACTTGTCTAATTTTGCAATCATCAGAAAAATGTCCTGATGCCAGTCTTTCAAAGCTAATAAAAACCAGATGGTCCGGAAGAGGAGGCTGAGATGCAACAACAAAAGTCGTCAGAATTACCACTTAACCTAGCTCGCTTGCTTGTTGAGAAGTCAGTTTTGTTTTGCCCAAAACAAAAATGGCCTATTTCGGAGTCAATGCCCTTTCTCCCCTGGACCAATCAGGATCTACAGTTCGGGACATAGGCGCCTCACTTCCGCCTGGTCTTCCTGGGTATCTCTAACTTTTCTCTCGGAGTCGCGGTCACAGGCTTCTGACTTGGAACTGCTTCCGCGGCCAGGGCGGCGAGGCGCGGCGGCGGCGGGTGGGATGAGCACGGCGCGCGGTGGAGCGGCGCGGACGCTGCGGGTGCCGGGCCGCCACGGCTACGCCGCCGAGTTCTCCCCGTACCTGCCGGGCCGCCTGGCCTGCGCCGCCTCGCAGCACTACGGCATCGCGGGTGAGGCCGGGCCGGGCCGCGCCGCCGGGGCGGGGACGGGGGGGCCAGCCGAGCCTCAGCTTCTCTAGCTCTTGGGAAAGCACTTCCGAGAGCAGACGGTGCCGCGAGTCAACGCCAGGGGGAAGCAGAGGCACTGGCCGGCTGCGCTTTCCTCTGCCAAGCGTGGGGAGTTGGTGTGGAGATGGTGCCAATCATCTTTTCCATTCACTTGTGGGAGTAGCATATGGATGTAGCCTAGTAGCCCATGTCCTTGTTCCTTGAGGCCCTATGGTCTCCACCGCCGCCTCTCTCTCTCTCAGACACACCCAGGTACATGCCCGCGTGGCCGGTCCGACCGGCGGAACAGCACTTGGAGGACGGTCTGCAGAGTCACTCCATGCCCTGCTAACTGGTCCAGGTGTATCCCACAGTCTGCATTCGAGCCCTGAGCCAAAACATGTGGGCTGTCCCTCGTAAGAAGGATGCTCCTGAGCAGACTTCTTAGAGTTTCCCCACGATGGCCGTCATGAAATGTGGTCATGAAATGTGTCAAGTTCTGTCCTCACCTTTTGTCGTCTCTTGGAGAATACATATATTTGCAAGCACTTGTTAGAGGTTCAAGTTAATTGTCTCTGGCGGTAGACTAGATGGAAAGGCATGGGTCCATTCTAGATTTTGCTTTCTTTTAATGCATATCCTAGCGATTTACACACTGAAGCAATATGCAACAAATCATTGCATGATGTCAGTGCTCTGTTGTATTTGGGCCTACAGCAGAAAAAAAAAACAATGTGATTTCTAAAACTTGGAGAGAAATACTTTCTGTATTTTCACCATTAGCACTTAGCGATTCCACATTCAGATTTACAGTACTTGCCCACCAGTTAGGTTGAAGACTCATGAGTCTGTAATGATACTTTGGTATTAAAAAAACAATCAGTCATGTTTAGATAGAATTTTCCCCTTGGTCTTTATAAAAATAAATATGACTTTTTAAAAACATTGATCTTTTAGTAAAATAATTCACCTTTTGTAGATAACTGATGCTAATACTGTTTTCAGCACTTCACTGTCAAGTATGTGGTAAATTCTAGGTATTTCCACATTCATATGTTTTAAAATTCTGTGTTAGATGTATTTTAGATTTATTTGGAGAGGCAAGGTGTTTTAGACGGAGCACAGTTCCTGGTGTCTGTGAGCTTGCAGTTTGTCATCTGTCAATAGGGGTGGTAACACCAACTTAGAAGGTTTGTGTCCCTGGTGACTAGCCCTAGCCGCAGAGTAGGCCTTTAAGTATCTCTACCCTCCGTTAGGTCTGTATGTGGATTTCAGTCATAGGTGAGATGGTAAGTTGAATATTTAATGATTGAAGCACAATATGGAAAAACAAAAACAGAGAACACAATCCTGATCATTTTGTATTCATGGTTCCAATAACTTTTGTGGTAGTAAAATCAGGTACTCAGTTCTTGATTCTACCTTGACCTTAGATGTTACCCTGGTAGGTTCAACTGCATGATTTTGATTTTTTTTTCTCTCTTTAGGCGGTGGAACCCTGCTAATCGTGGATCAAATTGAATCTGGGCTTAGGCTTTTTAGAAGGTAAAGTGTCTCTAATTATTAAACTTACATATATTCTGTTACTACTAAAGCCTTAATAGAATTAGGTTTTGACTTTTTGATGAATAAGTTGTTTTAATTTGCAATGTAAAAGGAACTTCAGCATTTGCATAGTTTAGAACTTATTTTTGCTATTAAGTTATGATTATACTACTTTTCTTTTAAAGCATACTTCTCAGTGTCTTCTCTTACTGTCTTTTCTAAAGCATACCTCTTAGTGTCCATTTATAAATTATAAAACTTAAAAGATGTGAACTGGTATAATATGTGATGTTGCCTCTCTTTGCTTTCTTCTTAATATAGTTTAGCTTTATACATGCAGGAGCTTATTATCCATTTTGTGAATTATCCAGCACCTGCTATCCTTTCCATCCATTCCTGTCTTGCCTGTGAGACTGTTGGTCTTATTAACACTCCCATCAGTGTTAGTCAAAGGTAGAGAAAATTCTATTAGAAAATAACTACCTGTTCATGGCTCAGGTGACAGATGTAAAAGACAAGTTGAAATTATTGTTCTAAATTGGTATTTTGAAGTACGTGCTGGCCCATCCTAAAAACCACAAAAAACAGTGAGCAGCCAGGTATGGCATCATGCCCTCTTGTAAATAGTTCCATTTTTGTCATTGGGAGGCCTAATATTAATCCAGGTGGGCAGTTTTCTACCTGTATGATATAAGCTGTTTGCTTAACCTTTCTGAATTTGTTTCTCTATATGTTAAGTGCCTGCTCTATTTATCTCCTATGGTTGTGAAGATTACACCAGATAATGTGTGTTAAAATGTGTGACAAACTATAAGAAAAAAACTCCATAACTGTAAAATTGTGATGGCTATTCTTTTTTGTTTAGCTGCCTATGTAAGTGCTTTTGTTTTTTTGTTTTCCTGGTGTAGCTTTGACTGGAATGATGGTTTATTTGATGTGACGTGGAGTGAGAACAATGAACATGTCCTTGTCACCGGTAGTGGTGATGGGTCACTGCAGCTCTGGGATACAGCCAAAGCTGCAGGGCCACTACAGGTCTATAAAGAACACACTCAGGAGGTAGGAGGGGAATCTTTCTGGGCTGACCATTTTTCTTTTTTAAGTTTGGTTGAAATCCATTTGGGGATGGACACGTGGAGAAATGTCTTCAGGGGACAAGTTTAAACTTTAGTGTTCCTTATACATATTAGATGTCATTTATTATTTGATTATTCAAACATAAAGTACCTCTTGGCCTAAGGAGCTAGGAAAGAAAAGAAAAGGTCAAGCTTCTCATTAGTCAGAAAAAAATGCCTCCAGTAGTGTGCTATGGATCATTTCCTCTAGAAAGTCCCATCACTTTCTTCATGCTATAAGAATATGCCTGTCATGCAGTGCCTCAAGATAGACGTAGGTGGACTTTTCACAAAGACTTCACAAGATTGCCTTTAGGGCTTCAGTAAGATTCTTGAGGATTTGCAAAATATAATATATTGGAGCAAGAGCATTAAATACTGATTATGAGGCAGAGCTTACTGAAGGATTTTTATATCTAAATCTGATTCATGTGTCTAGATTTGGTGTGTATGTATAGTATAGAAAATAGTTTGGACTTTAGTCATACTAAAATATATATATTTTTTTTAATGAACATGATGGTAAAGACATTCTTGTTTGGTATTTTACCTTAAATGTTTTAAAATTTTCCTCAAGGTAGCAGTAGATTCTTCAAATGAAAACTTGGAAATTTACTTTTATTTTTTTATTTTTTGAGACAGAATCTTGCTTTGTTGCCCAGGCGAGAGTGAGTGCCATGGCGTCAGCCTAGCTCCCAGCAACCTCAAACTCCTGGGCTCAAACAATCCTGCTGCCTCAGCTTCCCGCATAGCTGGGATTACAAGCATGCGCCACCATGCCTGGCTAATTTTTCCTATATATAGTATTTGGCCAATTAATTTCTTTCTATTTATAGTGTAGACGGGTCTCGCCCTTGCTCAGGCTAGTTTTTGAACTCCTGACCTCGAGCAATCCGTCCGCCTTGGCCTCCCAGAATGCTAGGATTACAGGTGTGAGCCACCGCGCCCGGCCACAAATTTACTTTTAAATTTGTATCTACTGCAGTGCCTGGCCCATAGAAGGCCCTCAGTAAATGCTTATTAGATGCAAGAATATTAGTCTTTTGTAATAAAAGATTAGTTATATGAGAAGTCCAGACTTTTTATAGCTACAGCTATTAACAATCAAGATTTCTAAGATTAGAAGTGAGATAATGAAAAATTTTAATTCTCATTTTATTGTGATTGCTCTTTGAATAAATGTCGTTGTAAATTACCATGTTTTCAGAGAATCTGTGAATACTAAGATAACTTTAGTAAAGGAGGAACTTTAGTTTCAGGTTGTTCAATGCAAGAATGTTAAAAATTCAGACATTTTTGTGGTACTTCATGATTTTTGACATTTTTTATACTACTTATATAATAATAATTATTATTATAATAATTAATAATTATAACTAACTTAATGGTTTTCTTTATTTTTTTAAAAATATTTTTTTTAGAGAAGTTTTTCCCCTTAAATATTTGGTGCCTTTTATTGCTTATCTATATAAATTCTAGGGCAGTAACTAACATCATATAATAATATATTAATATCTAGTTAAGTTAAATGGGATATATTGATTTAATGTTTTTCTTTAAGTCAACTTTAAATTGTTACTTCATTTATCCTCAAACAGTAAGATTCATGAAACCATGAGATTAATGGCTACTTAGAATGTACATTTTGAATCTGCATGTTAAAATAAATGCAAAATAAATAAAATAAGTGTATGTGCCAGTTGAAACCATCTCTTGTACAACCAGTGGTGTAAGTACTGCTCTCTGGGAAATACTGCTCTAGTGTCTCTGACAGATGGTCACTTAGTCTTCATCTCAGTGAGAGTGAATTTCACTATCTCACAAGATAACGTATTTGAGTTTTAGATTGCTCTAATAATTAGAAAATTGCTTTTCTTAAGCTCGAATCTACCTTCTATAGCAACCAGCTGTTGTTCTAATGCTTTTCTCTGCAGTGGTGAGACTAAGTCCAGTCCTTTTTTTCCAGGAGAATCCTTGAAAATAGCCATCATATCCTATTCAGTCTTCCCTCTTCCACACTGTGCACCTGTCATTTCTTCAGCCTGTCTTCAGATTACGTGGTCTCTACATCTTTCACGCTCCTGGAAACCCTCTTTTGATAACTCTTCTGTTTTTCAATGTCCCTTTTAATGTAGTATACCTAATTTATTCCAGAAATAATATGATCAGTGCTGAGCTTTGTAAGATTTTGCCACCATAAACTTGAGCAGCTACCTCTAATAAGGTTACCTAAAATGGCTTTACATTGTCCTCAGCCATGTTGTGGTGTTAGGTTACTTTGTGTCCACTAGTTAAGCACTTAGATCTTTGGTGTTTGAACTGCTGTTAACCCAGGTTTACTTCATTTTATAATTCTGCAACTAGTTTTTTAAACTGAAGACTCATTATGGGTTTTTTTTCTTTATTTGTTTGCAGACTATTATTCTAGATTTTCCTTTCTCGTTTTCTTTTCAAGTGCTACTGTTGGTAAGCATTTATATTAGTTAGGATGCCTTGGATGTTAGTGTAATAGAAAACCCAACTAAAAGTGGCTTCAGTAATCAGTTTATCATGTCACATATTTTACTTGGTTATGTGAAATAACAAATGAAAATAACCTTTTTTGGTATTTGTTAAAGCATCACCCTCACTTCGTGGCATCAATTTCTTTATTTTTTTCGAGACAGTCTCACTTTGTTGCCCAGGCTAACGTGAGTGCCGTGGCGTCAGCCTAGCTCACAGCAACCTCGAACTCCTGGGCTCAAGCGATCCTACTGCCTCAGCCTCCCGAGTAGCTGGGACTACAGGCATGTGCCACCATGCCCGGCTAATTTTTTCTATATATATTAGTTGGCCAATGCATTTATTTGTATTTATAGTAAAGACAGGGTCTCGTTCTTGCTCAGGCTTGTTTTGAACTCCTGACTTTGAGCAATCCGCCTGCCTCGGCCTCCCAGAGTGCTAAGATTACAGGCGTGAGCCACCGCGCCCGGCCCTTGGCACCAATTTCTGTCTTGGTCTGTTTGGGCTGCTATAACAAAGTAGCATAGACTGGTGGCTTATAAACAATAGAAATTTATTTCTCACATTTCTGGAGGCTGGAAGTCCAAGATCAGGGTACCAAGTGTTTCTTATACTTTAAGAAACACTTAAAAAGATTTAAGGTCAAATGAGAGTTTTGAGAAGCTAATAAATATTTGTTGAATAAATTAATAAGTGAATGAACATGGCCAATTTCTATGTTTTTTCACCAGTATGTTCAGAGAAGCTATATCATGACATAGAATAGAAAATAATTGGTCATTTTCTCCCATGAAAGAGAGTATACAATTAGAATACACTGCATGGTTCCAGTTGACCTTGGGTTTGAATTCAGCTTTGTCACTTACACCTGCCGTGAGACCTTGAATAAGTTATTTATTTTTCCTAAACCTTAGTTTTTTCATTTGCAAACTGAGGGTATGTCATAGGGTTGTTGTAAGTGCTTGGACCAGAGCCGACACTGAAAAAATATGAGCTATTTATATTATATTGTTCTTATTATAATAGGGTTAGAAAAACATAAAACAGGGTAGAATTCCTCTAGTTACCCATTTTACCCTTTGATCACTATGTGAGAAATGTCCAACAATCAATTTTCAGATTGTCAGATGAAGCAAAAAAGAGAAATCCAACATTTAGATATATTTTAGGCCTTGAGGAATGAAGGTCTCGGTGAAATGAAAAGACATAAAAACATGGTTATTATCTCTGTGTATGGCTGCTAAACTTAGCATCAAAGCAGGAATCAGAGTCTTCTCTATGTTGTTCAACTGGTGTCTGCAGGGGCCATTATGTCTTTCGAGCCCCATAAAATGCCGTTGGCTTAGCCCATAGCCGAATATATAATAGAAAGGGGAGAATATAAACATTTTTAAAAATTCAGTGAAAAGGAGAAAAAAAAGAGAGGGTGAGTTGAGAATTTTGTTTCTCTACTCTGTGACTTACAACTCTGTGCTACTAACAGTGAGTTATAGTGACTTTAAAGATGACATAGAATCAATTTAATATTTCAGTTTCTAATTTTTAGTTTATTCACAATTTTTAAAAATAGTTAAAATTTGTTCTTATTTTTCAAATAGCAAGGCTTATCAATGCTGAATTTTTAATAAGATATTTGATCTGTTAAAGTTTTTGAGCATTGCTTATAAAAACTTATTTTTTGAATTAAGTAGGCAGCTATTAGTATCTTGTTGGGGAGAAAATGTATTTAATTACATATTTTATAGTAAAGATGTGCCATATGGTTAAAATCTTGTTTAATTTACAAAATGAATCAATTGTTTACATTTTGATAATGATAGAAGCTGAGAAGTCTGTAATGATGGGTACCAATAAAAAATATTAATGCAGAATGACAACCAGTCTTGCATGTAACACCAGTGTGAGACTTCAGAAATGCATTTATTTTTAAAACTCCACAACAGATTTGTCAACTAAAGGAATTATTTTGTCTTTCATTTTTTTTTAAAGTGAGGAAACAATTGGACTTTATATATTTCCTTTTGCATATTTAGTCATGCTCATTCATTTTTATTATAATTTAAAATAGCAGTTTAAAGCTTTCCCTCCTAAAAATTGTGATTGTAGAAAAAAATAGTTTATAATTAGGTGTCAGTTGAATCAATTCTTTATTTTTGGATTTATCTGCCAATAAGATGTAGTATTTGTCATCACTTTTCAATCCTATGTTTTCAAAGCATTGACTTTGGGTCAGTTGTGGTGGCTCACACCTGTAATCCTAGCACTTTGGGAGGCTAAGGTGGGAGGATAACCTGAGCTCAGAAGTTCAAGACCAGCCTGAGAAAGAGTAAGACCCCATCTCTACAAAAAATAGAAAAATTAGCCAGGCATAATGGTGTGTACCTGTAGTCCCAGCTACTTGGGAAGCTGAGGCAGGAGGATCACTTGAGCCCAGGAGTTTGA